TCGGCTCATGAAGCAAAAGAATCGAAGAGATGATTATAAGCGACAGACCTAGCGCAGTGATATTTCCTTGCTTTAGCCCGACATGCAACTTGATAGGATGTTCGGAATTAGCCCTCGATATCTGCTCCCACCCAGCCGGTATCTTAGTACCAAGAGAATCGGTGGTCCTTCGTGTGAGCTCCTTGGTCCATCGAGGATGCAAATTCGACGAAAAAACAGTTCCCGCTAGGGTAAATAAAAGTAGTTTGTGTAGGAGTGACTGAAGCATTAGGAAGAGCGATGGGTGGATTACGGTGATTTCTACTTATACAGTACGCAGTCTATAGCTTTGACAGAATCAATCTCAAATGCTATGAGTACCGGAGCAATGCCCGAGCCCACCACTAAATCAACAGTAAAATCTGAGTGAACATACCTCGGTCCTCCGGGTCTACTTACAAAGATCAAAACATTGACTTGCTATTAGCTGACTCCTGCCGTCCTCCGAATCCCATCCGCTTTTCCATCACAACCCTACCATGACCCTACGCCGGACACAAATCTAAAACCGAGATGCATAACGGCCTTTCCAGCCCGCCCAGGAAAATGCGAGTTCGGAAACCTATACAGCTGTCTGCATCCAAGCATTCCCCAATCCGGAACAAAGAGGCTAAGCTCCAACTTTGACGCACTTCAAGTTCCGGAATGTTCTTGGACGTTACATATGGCATATCGATGGGGGAATTGTAGAGCATAACGGTGGAAGTTATAGTGTATCCTACATACAAGCAGAAATTAGCTGCGAGAAGGCCCTGGCGGAGGAGGAAAAGGAATGACCAAAGACACTTACAGCAACGTCTATGCCCCAAGTACACCGATAACCATCATGAGTCTATGAGTAGACATCTGCAGCGTCTATTACAGACTCAATTGGTGTATCACGGATGGATGCCGCTATGCGATTCAAAGGGAAGACTATGGGTATCCAGGAAGTGGAGCTTTGTAAATTCGGCGTGAAGACACAGGATGTATGTAGAGTCTGTACGGATGCGACTATCTGATTTAAAAGAAGGATCATTAGTACTGGGCTTGGGATTGTTTTGAGGACGAGAAGCGAGTAAAGTTTCACGGAACTGACTGAATTGCCCCGACAGATTTGGCAAATACTGCAGATTTGAACTAGATTTGAGCTAGAGACACTCGAGACTAGGGATCTGCGAATGATTTACGGCCGGAAAATCTTGATGAATGCAGGGTAGGCGTGCTTGGATGCTCAGGTCAAATTATCAAGGCGTAGTAGTATGAATGATCGCATGAGTCATGAAGAGGGAGCATGTAAACTGTATACATCAAGTGAGTTAGAAGGACAGAGAATCAACATTGGAAGAACTAAACGCGCCTTTGCTCCAAGCTTGAACATTCTACAACGTCACCATCCTCGACCGTAGAAAATTTCCGTAAATTTCGAGGATTGTTGACATTCTACTAATATTTCCTCTTATTCCTCGCGCACCTTGTCCCTTCTTCTGTTGTCTCGTCCCTCATGCTTTCGGGTAATTGGTATCGTGTTCAAAGTTGAAAAGCATAGATAAGCGCTCGTTTGCATCAAGGTCCTGAAGTTGATGCCTCTCTTGAAACGACCATCTCAATTCAACGATGCACTTTTTTACCTTTGAAGATGTTCCTCCATCCCAACCAGCTGCTGTCGATGGAGATCTAGTCAACCAGACAGTCCCGACCACTACCTCTTCTTGCCGTGGCCTTGCACGCAGGAGCAACAATAACTATGTCCAGGTCTTTGGGGGAATGGGAACAGGACCCAATGACCGTGATGCAGCAGTCAAAGGCACTGTATACTTGACTTACACTATTGTCAACAATGCCACATACAATGTTGATGACTGTCTTAACTACTGTGACAGCGTAGAGGGTTGTGGTTAGTAGTACAACATCCTAACTTAGTTTCTCAACATTAAACTGACAGCTCACACATAGTCTTTGCCAACTTGTACTACGAGTTCGAGAATCCTTTATTGGATTTGGTCTTCTCTGAAGGCTCCAATTTGAAATGCACTGTTTACGCTGACACTCATTGTGCCACTGAAAAAACCAACTTTGGAGGTCAACAGCTCTATCCTGCTCCCGCTCCCCTCAACTACATCCAACAGAGCAGTGGATGGGCAGCTAAGTCTCTCGTAGAGCCTGACACACCTCAGGGCTATGATAAAGTATTTGGACCCACCAACAGAGCCAACAATGCTCCAGGCTACATGGTAAGTCTTGCTCACTTTTGGTTGGATTTCTATGTTGATCCGCTTGTTCCAGGGCTTTGCCTTCCTCAACAAGTACGACATGGATGCGTGTGCATCCCTCTGTGACACTCACGGTGCTGATCCAGTAGGTGGCGCATGTCAGTACTTCAACATCTGGAGGGCTCTAGTCAACGGAATTCCTACTACTTATACTTGTGCTATGGTACGTATTCTCGGTTAACAAAAAGTCCTTGAGCAGGGTGCTTACCTCCCTATGTATAGTATTTCATCCCCGCTGACGAGTCCACTGCCATCAACAATGGTCAAGGAGATCTTGTCATTACCAAATCCCGAGGATATGTGCGCCAGAATGCTATTGTTGACGGTGGCTTTGAGGGGTACATGTGTGACTTGGGCGTGGACTTCTGCTTTACTTCCAGTTACACCAACTGGGTGGGCACTTCTCCTGCCGGCGGAGACCTAGATGCTTCCATCTTCAACTATGTACCTTACGCACACAATGGTTATTCTGTTGGGCTCTTAGGCACGGCTGATGGCACTGACACTCTTTTGGGAACCCTCGCTCCGGCTTCACCCATAGCGACAGAGGCTGGTGTAAGCTACACTCTTCAATTCTTCATCTCCACCTCCTTCTCTGGCCAGGACGAAGCTGGTGCTAATTTGGCGATTATCTGGAACGGAAATACTGTGGATACCATTACCCCAGGTTATCAATCCCAGTGGGTTCTACATCAGTACACTGTTGTCGCACAAGGAAACAATGTGCTTCAGTTCATTGGTAGTCCTGCCCCTGGGTGGGTGTTCATTGACAATGTAGCCCTGTTGGCATGATCACTTTCACAACTTTCATTATTATTTGGATGTATTTGTAAATTGTAAAACTTGTTATAATTGGGTTTATGTAGTTCAGTAGTATAGGGTAATGGATGATTTGAACTTAGCTTGCAGGAGCTTATTAAGCAATGCTGAAACCAATTTATATGTACAGCTAAAATGGGGAATGAATATTCAAAAGAGCTCCAATTATGTGGAATTATAAGTTTTGCATTTGCATAAAGGAAGTCTGTCTCTACAGTCAGGATAACGCTCGGATAAAGCTGCACCAGTCTTCTGGTTGACTTGTTGAATGGTTGACACAATATTAGAGGTGTCCGTGGTGGTCCCATTGACGGCAGCCTGGTCATTAGATGTAGCCGGAACACCCTGAAGTGCAGGAGGGATGGTAGAGCACTCTGCAGAGGCAACTTGAGTGAAAGAACAGTGAGGATACGACTCTGCGGAAAGAGCTTACCTGCAAGGGAGATTGCAAGAGCAGTAAATGTTAGGAAGCGGGTCAACGAGATCATTGTAAATGCAAGATTATTCTGTTATGAACCAGCTAAGGAAGAGAATCACTGGGTTGATTCGACGAGGTTTAGCTACAGTTACACACAGATATTTATACTAGAATGAGTAAGGAGCTAAAAAAGCTACAAGAGGGCAAAGGAGTTAATAAAAGGGGAAGTAAGACTGTACTGAGATGAAATGTCCCATATATGCGTTGCGGGGATGTTCCAAAAAGATCCGAGAAACGAGCGCGGTGCATTCAGACCACATTGAAAGGGTGAGGAGCGGATGAGTCAGGATGAACGTCAGTGAAGGTGAAATCCTGAGCATTTCCTTGGCGCTTTCTCTATGATACTTTGCTGCTTTATAGCTGTTAGAAATGTTTATATTAATAGGCATAGAGCACTCTGGTGTTGCTCTGGTAACTATGAAATGAATGCTGAGCATCTGTCTGAAAATCTGTAAACTAGCCTGCCATATGGTAAGACTTGTTGCAATGAGAGATCAAAATCTTACCTCTGCCAAGGTAGTGACTTGATCACAAAGGGACTGGTTCATCTAGGATATCCTTTACCTCTTTCGGGATGTCTAAATTAACTGTCAGCGAGCTTTCGGTTCTTGAAGCAGTATAGAATTAAAAGTTCAAACCAGGTTTGAACTGAATATGCTCATCGGGTTTTGACTTCAAGAATGGTGGACTTACTGGGTGTGTCTTCGAACGAAAGTGTGTGCTGTGTGGCTCCGATCAATATCTGTATTGACAAGAAAACTCAAGACTCTGTGTCTTATTGTTCCTGTGTCCTTGGCAAGTGCTTCTATAGACAGGATAACAGAGTAGTGACTGGATCAGTGAGATCGTCTGAAGGGCTTGGTAAGCCAAGCTCTATCTAGACTTACTATAGCAGCTTTGTCTCTTTCTAGTGTTTGCGACCAGACTTGAAGTAAGCCAACGTTGATGAAAAGCATCTTAGCATTGAACTTAGACAAGACTTTATACAGACAACTTGGGAGGGGGATAAAAGCTTAAGCTTGTAGTTTATTGTATAGGACAAAGATACTATGAGTATTTGCCTTCCATTCTACGATGATTCTCATCAGCTGCATTCTCTAAAGGCATTAGAAGGGAGCTCTTCTACCATCCGGCGAGTGGAAAAGTATTTTGCCATGCTCGAGCTTAAATTAAAAAAGGAAAAGATGCTGTACCCATATGCTTACATCAAAATTTGCACATCCTCGACTGTAAAATAAGCCAGAATGGGATGGTTCGACGGGGATGAAAGCCTGCCCACAGTGTGCATGAGGTGAGTCTACTACTAGAGGTCTGTCACTGTTTTGGGTCTTCACCGGCAGAGTCCATGCCAATTTTTGCTTGTAGTAAGTATACTTATCATGTAAGGGCGTAGTATTGAAGGAAAATATGACTCCTTCTTAGCTCAGTTGGTAGAGCGCGTCACTAGTAGATTGTAAAGTCTGGCAAGTTACTATGACGAGGTCAGTCGTTCAAGTCGGCTAGAAGGAAATAAAGTGGCATAGTCAGGAAACATCTGACTTTTCTTTTTCCGATCTTGTAGTGTTGAACATAATACTAGTAATACCTCAAGATGCTTTTTCTTTCATTATTGTTAACCTTTACCAAGTAATACACTTGAAAAATAGCACTATTCAAGACTCGAAGGGGCAACGTTTATGGTCTACACCTATCACGACTCCATTCCTTCCTTCCTTTGCATCTCCCTTGCATTTCGGTCACTCATGAGACCCTGAGCCTTCATCCCCTCCTGTCGATAGCATTTCAGCAACCTCCTAGCGCCTCCTTCCCCACGCCGGACGTTTATCGTCCCCCCTGTTCATCAAAAACAACCTTCCGCCGGTATTTGTTCTGATCGCGGAGCCACTGTAGTGGGTTTGTGTATACGCAGACGAGCGAGCGGAAGGAGGGAATGGATGGGAAGAAGCAAGATGGGGGGTAGGAAACAGAAGGGAAGAGAAGGAAACAAAATCAAGTCAGCCAACGTGCCAGAAAACGCAAACGAAAGGCAAACACGTACCTGTCGATATTGATGTAATGACCCGATACGTTCGCCTAAAAATTAAAACCAGTTCAAAATGAGAGGTTGAGGTATTCGAAGGGCAAAAATACGCACCAGTAATAATCCGGCACAGGACTCGTTGGACTCTGCAAGGTCACGTCCACCCTATTCTTCGATATCCTCTCGTAAAATTGTCTGTCCATAGCATCTATCCTCTCTAATCCAGCACGCTTGGTAGAAGGAAGTAACCTCCAAACCGCCCTCCCAAAGACGGACCAACGATGTATCCAGCACCCATACATGCAGTCGTGCAGATACCGTAAAACATGAATGGGTCGATGCCCTGTGGGATGAACGGAGGAGACAATGGTCAGTCGACTAGAAAATGTCGAAAAAAAGGCACATACCATGATAGGTTTCATCGGATCCGTATCCAAGCTCCCGAAATACAAGGCTCCAGCTGCAAGACCGAGGATTGAGGATGGAATGGAGGCATACTGTAGTTTTTACGAGCAAGTTGATAAACATTTGGTTTCAGAGCGTGAGGTATTAATGAATTGTCAGTCTTCAATAGAACAAATAGCTTAACTAGTGGGTACTCACATTCTGCCATTTCCGCTTATTCCGCCTTATAAGAAGGTATTGAGGCCATGTCAGGGCCTTTCCTTCTGCCTGTCTCGCTAATTTTCCAGTTTCTCTGGGAGCTTGTGCTTCTGCTGATGGTGCAGTCGAAGAAAGCCTCGAATTTGTCGCCTTTTGCGTAGTGGCTGCGTTTGTCGACTTGAATCGCAAGCGCGTTATAGTTGGTGCCTTGTTTCTGCAGCCAAGGTTAACACTGAGCAGACCCGTTGCTGAAGAGGATTTTAAAGACAGAGGTAATGAGCGTAGACAGTTCATTTGGATGAGCATGGTCGTTCAAGAGCGTGAAAATATTCGACCGGCGTCAACAGAGCGAAGATGGCGCTTATATTGCTCCTTGCATTCCAAGTTTGTCTTTGAAATGTCTTATGTTCATATACATAATCTTGAACTAGAAATTTCACAATGCATTTCTCTGTCTCTGTGCATCTACAGTAATACTATCCATTACAGCTGCGATCGCGTCGCATACAGTCGACTAGGGTCAACCCCAAAAGCAATATACCCGTCTTCGTCATCAGACGCGCCTTTCCATCCATCCCTCTAGATATTGTTCCTGGATACTCTTCAAGATGCTCTACGGGCTCCATCTCAGCTTTGACCTGCACTATAAATCATACCTCTGCTCGGGTGGCGCAACATCTCCCCATATGAACTCTGACACAGGACTTCAAGATCCAATCGTTGATCAACTTTGACTGTTCCCGTCCTTTGCAGCCTCTTCCACTAAGGCTACAATTCGCCTTCCTCTCATCATCTTCGTTGGGGACTGTGTTATCTTTGGCGGATGTGGAATGGGAGGTCTCTTTCTTAGGGAGTGCGGTGAAGACGACACAGATGGTGAAAGTCATAGTCTATCGACACTGGATGGTAGGCGTTGGAACTTGACGAGCATCCAAGGCTTCAACTTCCGAATGTCTGGAACGCGCAAGCACATTGTTTGTCATTGCGTCAACCTAAGAAGAGGAATTGCCATGCAATGTAAGTATTAGTTGTACTGAAAACACTCACGCTAGTAACCGGAGCTGAAAATACTGTATAGAACAGGCCAAAGCCAACGATGGCAGCTGCGGGCCAGTTGATGCGACGCATTGTGGGGGTTATTGTGTGGAAGAGACGAAAGAAAAAAAGTGGGTCGTCGATGAGAACCTCTAGCTGTCTTGTTCAGTTGTAGGTACTTGAATTATTAGGACAGGTGCGAACTTACTGGTAGGAGCTTAACCACCAGCGAAAAAGATGGTGTTCACGGCACTCGACCGGCGAGTTGTGGAGGGTAAATGAGAAGGAACCCGAGCTGGGCAGGGTTAAAAGAAAAGTCCATAATTTGACGTTTTTCCGGATATTTGGACTTTCAAGGACAAGTTGGATAATTTGACGTTTTGCCGCGAGTTGTAACAGATTCCGACGCTCCGCCCTCGACGTCAACTGATATCAGACGAATTACACCAGTATCGACAGGTTCGTGTGCATCTGTGTTCATCTTGTGTACAATAACTGACGATCCGTACCTCTCCCTCCCCTCCCGGTCCCTCCCTGGTCGGTCGATGTCCTTGCTCTTTTCCCTCCTGTCCCGTTTCCATTTCTCTCCTCCCTAGTCCTCCCTCCCGTACTCCCTCCGCCTACGTCTGCTCATACGGAAACCTCCAACTCGGTGGCTTCAAGATCAGAACAAATGCAGACAGATGATTCGGATTTGGATACCCCGTCAAAAATAGTAACTCTGGTCTCTCTGCTCTCTGCTCTATTGTCAAGCTGAGCATAACGCGGAACATTTTTCATACACGTCGGGTTAAAACTATTTCCGGTGGCCTAGAGATGAAATAATCTTGTGAGTTTATTGAGTCTCTTGTCCGCAAAGTCTCGCCTAGACGCCCACAATGTGGGAGACTTTTCATGGACGTCGGGCTAAGTGTATGCCCGGTGGCGGATACTGAAGATAGACAGAATGTTTCAAAGAGTAAGTGTAGAGCAGCCTACTAGCCTTGTGGACGATTTCATCAATCCAGTTACTTTGAGTCTGCACCAGACTCGGAGAGGTGTTGCCAAGAGAAATCCAGAGACACCTGTCAATGTATTCAATGCATACTATTAGTAGTAGAGCATCTCGGAGCAACCTCCGAAGTCATCGAGGAGAATAGGTATGCGGAGATATTTAATATTGGACTGCAGAGAACAAAAGTCCCTACTCTAGACTTTCTCGGAGGCTGCACTCTTCTAAGCGAAATGTCACCAGTCTATCAAGTGCCACTGAAATGGCACACGTAGTACTGGGATTGTCACTCCAAGACACTACCGACTTGCATTGTCCGAACGGGGAACCAGTAGTACCAGAGTTGGGTTGCAGTGCTTTGCAATTACACAGGGCGATCATGAACTACCAATGCAGGCCTTCAAAACATAGCGCGCAATTTTTTCCCATTTTGGATATTTGTTTATTTTTCTTTTCTGGTTTCACCTACAGTAATGGGTGCTTCAACTTCGAGCTTCTTCGCCGTGTAATCGATATTGAATTCTCAGTATGATAGGAACGCTTCGAGATTCTCCAACGTTCGAAGGCCCCGACCTTGAGCTGCTCCAGTAAGTTTTCAGCCGGGCATCGTATTGTCCGTCGTTCTCCATGTCAGAAATAATTAATTAACAAATTTCAGATACATTCCTTTGGCTTCAATCCCTGCATCGCTTCAAGATCAGAAAGTTCCTGGCTTGACCATTAGACTTCCCAAACACGTTGAGGAAACGGATGCTCAGCGCCCATAGATCCGTGCGGACAGTGGGCACTACAGCGCCTCGCAATAATTGAACAATTCCCAGAGCTATAAAAGCAGCCCCGAGAAATAACAGCAAGAACATCCACAGGATAATATCCCACTCACAATGTTCTCAGTATCACGTCTTTTAACTTTTGCTTGCCTTTCGATCTCTCTCGCAGGTAAGCTCTCTCCGCAGAGTTGCTTCCTCACTGTTGTCTCATTCACGTTGCCTTTACAGAATCTGCCTTCATTCCTGCACTTCAGGGCACTCCCGCTACCTCCAGTGACCCGCCTGACCTCAATGGGACCACCACGGACACCTCTAATATCGTTTCGACTGCTCAGCAAGTCGACCAGAAGTCCGGAGCAAGTTCAGATGCTCCGCCAGACCAACCAGCCACCAACACCACTATTACTGCTATCGACGGGGATCTAGTCAACCAGACGATTCCGACCACTACGTCCTCTCGCCGTGGTCTGTACGAGATTTCCCGCCGGAACGATAACTATGAACAGGTCTTTGGGGGAACGGGAACAGGACCCAGTGACCGCGATGCATCAATTGAAGGCACTGCGTACTTGACTTACACCGTCGTCAGCAATGCCACGTACGATGTCGATGACTGTCTTGATTACTGTGACAGCGTAGAGGGTTGTGGTCAGTAGTTCAACATCCTAATTCTCGTTGTGAAACTGACATGATTTCACAGTTTTTGCCAATTTGTATTACGAATTTGAGAATCCTTTGTTGGATTTGGTCTTCTCTCAAGGATCCAACTTGAAATGTGCTGTCTACGCCGACGTTCATAGTGCTATTGAAAAAACCAACTTTGGAGGACAACAGCTCTATCCTGCTCCCGCTCCCCTCAACTATATCCAACAGAGCAGTGGATGGGCTCTTAAATCCCTTCCAGAGCCCGCAGCACCTCAAGGCTATGATAAAGTATTTGGTCCCACTGGAGGAGCTAACAATGCTCCAGGCTACATGGTAAGTCTTGCTCGCTTTCAGAAGTTGGCTTCAAAACCCATTCTAATCATCGCGGTTCCTTCCAGGGCTTCGCTTTTCTCGACCAGTACGACGTCGCTGCATGTGCCGCCCT